TGAGTTTCAACCAATGGTGCCATTTCCTTTCTAAGGGACTCTTACACTCTTTGCTTTGAGACCTCTTTCACCTTCAAGGCTAGCTATGGTGGGTTGAGTTCTCATTCACACTTTCTATTCTGCTTCATCTCCTTGTCCTCTTGCCTTTTTTTTTTTTTAAGGTTTTGTCATGTCAGTGGTACATCTTGATAATATAGCACAGTTTCCTCTTTTTAAATTGAGGTGTTTAGTCATTTAATGTTCCTTCAGAGCAGTACCTACATTAACATCTGACTGAACAATCACAATGGATAAATTTTAAATAGACATTTAAGAATCTTGCTTGTCACACTTACTCCAACACTTTCTTTTAGGTTTTGAAACTTATATTTAATCATATTATACTCTCTGCTTGATAACTGTAATCCCTTTCATACTTTGATTATTTCTTTTGTTTATGTTGGCTCACTACATTTTGCTTCATGTCTTGGAATTAGTGAGTTTTAATTAAAATATCTCATGAACTTTATCATTAATAATTTTTGAGTGTGATGTTGGAGAAAACATTCTTTCTTTTGCTAGGTGCTCAAGAATCACACAAACTCTGAATGATTTTGAAGCAAGTTTTCTGATTAGGTCTTCCCCTCATATACTTATAGACAAGTATTTACACTTGCCTCTTTATGAATGCAAGGAGGGTTTTACTTCCTTTCACCTAGTGCATTGGCCATAACACAAAAGGTTCTCTGTTGATTTTCTTCACTAAGGTGATTTTTTTTTAGCACATTTCCACTGAGAATACAGTGTTTTAGGCCCTACTTCCAGTTCTCAATTCTCTCCTAAAGTGGTTTGTTACCAGTTTGTCTCATATTCTTTTTTTGTGTGTTCTTATTAAGACAGTTCAAGATCTGTGGATATTAGAAGTCATCAACTTAGTTCTTATTTATTGGAACTGGGAATTGAACTCACAACCTCATGCTTGCTGTGTTACTTGCTGAGCTAAATCATTAGCCCCTTTTATTTCTCATTTAAATGTCCAGATTCTTGATTGTACTTTGTCTTTCTCTTTTGAGGACTACCATTACTTTCTTGCCAATACAATGATGTCAGTTATACTATATTGCTTTATTATCTGAACTCAAGAATAGTTTCCTCTCTGGTATTTACAGCACTATACTATCAGGAAAATCCTTTTAAACAAATGAAAGTTTTCCTATTTGAAAAAAATCTATTTAATTTCTGCCTCAGGTGCATGTCATTTTAATTGTTTATTCCTTGACTACCCTGGTCTGCTTGTGCAATGGAAACATATGGCTTTGGTATTTGCATTTGTAGGAGTTCTAGTACACATTTACTGAACTAAAGAGCTTAATTTGGTAATAATATGACTATTGCTACTCTGTAGTGATAATTTTAACTATTTTCTTTTTTAGACAATGTTAGAGTAATACAGTGGAATTTGTTTAATTTTACTCTTTCACTAGTAGTATAACTCATCCTGTGCTACAAATAAAAAAAAGGATATGTTTAATTTTGTAAAATCAATACGTCCAAGCGAAGGTAACTGTTGGGAGCCACCACATTGCCGAGCCGCCGCATTTAGCGATCATGCGGCCTGTGGTAAAGAGTAAAGCCTGAGTTAGATTACCCCTCCCATCGAGCACGTTAGTTTCCTGCTTACCGCGTAAACAACCCGCTCAATAATATGTTAAGCCAATCAGCTTGCCTTGCTTACTTTAACATGATTGGACACTGTATCCGTATTTATACTGGTGCCACCCCTGGGGGGAAGTAGAAGCCCGGAAGGAGCCGCGGAGAGCGGACCGGTAGAGGCTTCGGAGCGAAGCACGAAAGGAGCCGCGGGGAGCGGACCAGAGGAGGCTTCGGCTGGGAGCGATCCCAGGGCAGGCTGTACGGAGAAGGAAAATAAAAGAAAAGGTTGTCCACTGCCAGACTTTGTCGTGTGTCCTTCCTGCCGGCCGGGAGCGACACCGACATTTGGAGGCCCGCACGGGGACTGATCACCCCCGAGACGTGACAGCGGACAACGCTCCAGTACAGAGCTGCGAGACAGGTGAGTTGGGGATAAGCCTGGGCTCTGGGTGGCGTGCACCTACAGGGCTTTTAGACTCCCCTCAGGCTCACGCGTAAGTGGCGGATTCCTTGGGCCTCACGCGGTGAGTAACATATTAAAAGATGGGAAACATGCTAGGTAGCAACACTAAGAGCGAGGGTGGTTGTGGAGAAAGCTCTCAAGAGCTTACAAAAGTACGCAGGGTATTTGAGCAGGCCCAGTCAGGGAGCTCCCGAGAGGGGTCCGTCAAGGGGAACAAAGATGCTAAGGAGGAGGCCGGGGCTCTAGCCTCGGAGTCGTCTGACTCCGAGGACGAGGGAAAGTTGAATGGCAAGGAGGCCAAAGAGACCAGCTGTCAGGAGCCTAAGTCGCTCAATAAGGAGTCGCAGGGTTCTTTCCCAGCGTTGCGCCGTGAATTGCGCTCCGCTCAACTTGGTCTGCAGAGGAGTAGAGAGCTCCTGAGCGCTCCCCGGCGCGAGAGGGAGGCGAAGCCTTCCGCCCCACCTTGGGGGCTGTTCCCGGAGGCGATCCCTCGCCGCGAGGCGGCCGCCCGGGAGCTCCCTTCCCCTTCGCCAGAACAGGAAGTGATGCACGGGCCCCCATTTTCCGCCCAATCATGGCCGCCGTCTTATGCTCCGCCGCCGGCGGGTCGGTATTTTTACAGGCGGCTTTGGCAGGGGGGACGTTTGTCTCATGAGGTACATCCACCACCTGGGATAGATAGTGGCCCCTACGGGATATTTCCTGTACAAGTAGCTATGGGCCAGGGACGTAATGCATGGGAGCCTTTTGAGATAAAGCAGATTAGAGAACTTAAAAATGCAGTTACAACCTTTGGGCCGACTGCGCCTTACACCATTGCCATGCTGGAGAACCTGTCTTCTGGGCCCCTCACCCCCGCGGACTGGATTCAGCTGGCAAAGGCGTGTCTGCCCTCGGGTAGTTACCTGGATTGGCGAGCCTGGTACGCAGAGTTCTCTGCAGAGCAGGCTGAGAGAAACGCCAATCGGGGAAACCGGGGGTGGAACAAGGAAATGCTTATGGGAGAAGGTCGGCACGCTGATGATCAGACTCAGTTCCCCGGCGCTGTCTATGAACAAATCAATGCCATAGGGCTCCGCGCCTGGAAGCAGGTAAGTGGTGCCGGAACAGCCTCCTTGTGTCTTTCAAAAATAGTTCAGGGTACCACAGAGCCATTCGTTGATTTTGTGGCTCGGATGCAAGATGCCGCCGATAAGATCTTTTCCGATAGGGAAGTGGCTCAACCGCTGGTTAGGCAGTTGATTTTCGAACAATGCACAAAGGAATGTAAGGCAGCAATAGCCCCACATAAGAATAAGGATCTTAACGCCTGGATCAGAATATGCAGAGAAATAGGGGGGCCGCTTTCTAACCTTGATTCCCTACTGGCCCCCCTACGGAAATCCTTTCCCAAGATAAGAAATAATATGCTCGGCCAGTTGGTCGAGGCCCTGAGACACCAGCCTATATAGGCAAAGCCTTCAATGAGTTCTGCAAAATGATGGAGGTTCAATTAAAACATGGTATCCCATACAATCCCCAAGGTCAAGGAATCATTGAGAGGGCTCATAGAAGCCTCAAAGAAATTTTACAAAAACAAAAAGGGGGAGTAGGCCAAGGCCTGGCCCCAAAGGCACGATTATCCATGGCACTATTCACACACAATTTTTTAAATTTAAATAATGATAATTGCTCCCCAGCTATGGAGCACTGCAACCCTTCCTCCAACCATAAAGGGTGGGTTAAATGGAAAGATGTCCTAACAGGACAATGGATGGGCCCGGATCCGGTGGTTAGCTGGAACCGAGGCGCGGTTTGTGTTTTCCCACAGGAACCGGGACGAGAACCACTGTGGGTACCGGAGAGACTGACACGGGCAACAAAGCCCTCGACTGAAGATCAGACCTGCCCTACCGGAGATCCATCACAGACCAACCAACAAGATGAATAGAAATAGCGGTAGCCCAAAATGGACAAAAAGATCCTCAGGCATATGCATGGCTCGCTCGCCTAGCCTACGACCGAGTCTAGGGACGGTGAGCTTCCCACACTCCTCCTCTAAAAAATTATGATATAGCAGGGTAGATGAGTCAATGACGGGTAAGAGCATGCCTCCCCAGCATGACTCAACCTAAGACAGGCCCTACCCCATACCGCACGAAAGCCGCTGAATTACTAGGTTCTGCCCGAACCAAATGTCGCCCCGGGGGGATCATGCGGAGTGACATGAGTGTATGCCTGTGTGCATCCAGGTTCCGTCCGGTTCCTTCCTGGCCCTGGAAAAAGGACGAGGGCCTCGGGGCCTCGGCAGACTCGGGGACGGCCGACCCGGGCCGACGCCGAGAGCCCTTGGTGGGCCTCCTATCAGGGCATAGGCCTCTACACTCAATTCAGGACGGGCTGCGATGCGTAGACTTATTTAAAATAAAAAAGGGGGAGATGTTGGGAGCCACCACATTGCCGAGCCGCCGCATTTAGCGATCATGCGGCCTGTGGTAAAGAGTAAAGCCTGAGTTAGATTACCCCTCCCATCGAGCACGTTAGTTTCCTGCTTACCGCGTAAACAACCCGCTCAATAATATGTTAAGCCAATCAGCTTGCCTTGCTTACTTTAACATGATTGGACACTGTATCCGTATTTATACTGGTGCCACCCTTGGGGGGAAGTAGAAGCCCGGAAGGAGCCGCGGAGAGCGGACCGGTAGAGGCTTCGGAGCGAAGCACGAAAGGAGCCGCGGGGAGCGGACCAGAGGAGGCTTCGGCTGGGAGCGATCCCAGGGCAGGCTGTACGGAGAAGGAAAATAAAAGAAAAGGTTGTCCACTGCCAGACTTTGTCGTGTGTCCTTCCTGCCGGCCGGGAGCGACACCGACAGGTAACAGCTATCTTGAAGAAATCAACACAATTTTGTAAAAAGGAGCCACCACAAAGGATTTATCAAATATTTATCTGTGACATCAATATACAAATATATTTGATAATAATATATAGTGCACATCAAGACACAGGCATTGTGCAGTGATATTGTTTTGCCAATTGTCTTTATAATAATGTTAATGAGTAGCATTGGTTAAAAATGTACTTCTCTGTGTCCCAGGCTGAAAAAGAGAGAACAAATACTTGAATATGAGGTAAAATGAGAACACATATTTGAAAGCATGGACTTCTGGATTCTGAAGGCGCTCACATGCACTGCAGCCACTGGGAGACCAAAAGATGCACATGCACCCATGGGGCTTTCCAAGTGCTTGCTCCAGCTGACAGTACACGGGCAGCTAGTGACACTGGTGTTATTATGTAGACAAGGTAAGATCTAATCCCAAGTAACACATTAGAATTTAAAATGACAAAGATCTCTAGTTAACCTTCAAATAACAAAATCACTATCTACCATGGAATTGGAAGACAAAGATATGTTTGATCATCTGTTTAAGATTGCTTTGGAGAAACTTAAAGACACTGTGCAGTACTCAAACTAAAAGAGCCAGAAACTAGGATGTAAATGGGCCAAATGTCAAATTAAAAAGCCACTTTTGATATATGCACCAAACATAAAGATGTAGCAAGAGAACTGTGTAGCTCAATTAAAGAAATTTTGACTGAGAGTTACATTTCCTTGTACTTTCTTGGCAGCAGTTGGAAACAGATCATTAAAATTATTGTAACTGAAATGTTTATCTTATTTTCTGGAGATAAAATTTATCATTATATTTTGAAGAGTCACATTTTTTACAATGAAAATATACCTATAATATAATTCATTCAGCAGTAATACATTGAATGACTGGAAGAGGTGAGAAATAATACTTTTGATCATAAATAAATGTGTAACAAGTAACAGAAAAAGAAACAAGAGACTAGGATGAACTTTGTTTTCACGAAGTATCAGTATTATATTTTAAGCTTTAAATATACAAACTTTACTTTGAAAAACCATTAGTTTTGCATTGAATAATTAATACATAATTAATAAACATGATAATTCATATGAAATTTAAATGAAACATTATTTTAAATAATTTATATTAATTAAATAACCATTTAATCAATTTCAGTAATAATTTCATACATATTATTTGCAAAAACAATAGATTTGTAACATGTAGAAAGGTACCTATGAAAATACCAAATAACTCAATTATTTTTTTGGCTTTGTCTTCTATTATGTTTTGAAGATGAAAATTCTGTGATATAACATCTCCATCTTTTGTTTTTAATCATTTTTTCACTCTATTCTTTTATTGAAATGCTAACAGACATTGTTTTTCACATGTTATTTTTATTTGTTTTAATGTTCAGGTTTTTTTCTTTTTTTAATAGTTTGCACATAAATGACTTCTCATTTGTAAATATGTCAAATTTTAATTTTTTATTATTTTTTGTCTACTAATACTTCATTTCAATTTTGATATGTGGATTCATCAGAACTTTTTATTTCTATGTACACACATTCATTTACAATTTCTATGTCTCCTTTTTTACAGATAAAATTCTACATTTCTAAAATAAGATAAACACTGAAAGTTGTTGTACACCTGTATAAATATATGAATAGTTTACTATTCTTTCCAACCATACTGTATGAGTAGTACAAATCATATCAAGCCTTGTTCATAGTTATCCAAACACATTTCTCAGTGCAGATGCCAGAAAAGTATGGACCATTAATCTATCAATTGGATCAAGTAGAAATTAATCATTAACAATGAGTTTTCTGTGATTCAATGATTATGTTATAAATTTAGAAATATATACTAATTCAATTCAGTTTTATACTCTGTACATGGAGAATAATCCTACTGAATTTTACTCCAGTGTGGAAATGCACATCTCATTAAACAATCTTTCTCTACCACCAGATAACAATGATTTTATTTTTCAGAATTTTTTTGAACAACACTATAGAAATAATGTACTCCAGTAGCTAATGAAGTTGTATACTGTGTTATCTGTTTTTAATTTCATGGAAAGTTTTTAAACTAATAAATTAATGTTTGAAATATTATACTGCACTATGATTTTAAGATAAATCAAATGGCCTAACCTCTCTGAAAGTCAAATTATAAATTATTCTTATGAGGAAACAAGATACAAACCACAAACAAAATCTCAAGCCTAGGCTTCTCAGTGAAGTCATACAAATACCCTTTGGTCAGGGTCCAATAGAAATATGGAGTCCAAGTTTCGACAGCAGTTTTTGTGTGTTCATTGGAATTGTAGCAGCTATACTATGAATGATTTAATTTTCATTAGTTAAACAGTCTTTTGTTCCAATGAATTCTTTCCTCAAAGTCACTAAGTGATAGTAAGAAATTCAGTGCTTGTCATGGTGTGGTGATATTACCAATTACAGGAGCCCAAGATGGGTAAGTTTCAAGGTCGAACATGGCTGAAATCCACGTAAATATGGCGACCATCACCACAGCAACTCCAATAATATTAACACCAAGCCCAGCTTTAATCTGGAATACGAAAGAACGTAAATGTCAGCCTCCCCAAAGGAAAACCCACAGGCAAATTAACATGCTGTTGCAGAAAGATCATGTCATATTCACCTACACCCTAAATGACTAATATAAATTGCTATTTTATGAAACAATGGGTTTCTCTCCCATAATTATCAAAAGAAAAATCTGCCTTAATTAAATATCATTTCAGTAGACAGACTTGAAATAATTTTTAAAAAATATATTCAAGCCATTCTGATTAGAGAAAATCCTTATAAATATGTCCTTGCAAAATAAGTCAGAATTTGAGTTTTATGTGCTCATATTTCAATGCATAAGTTTCAAGATGTCATATTACAGTTGTATCCTTCATATGCACTTAATTTTATTACTAATTCACCCTGAAATATTATCTCACTGAAATTTTATAATGCCACTTCTGTTCGTCTTTCTTAGTATTCCCATTTTTCTAGCTGGTGTCCATTAAACAATTTCAAAGTTGCCTTCTGTTCATTAAAATACATCAACCTTCATTCCTTTGTCTCTTTTTTGCTAGTACAGTGTCGTTAGGCCACAACCATGCATGCATGTCTGAATATTGTCTTTGGCTGCATTCATGATGCAATAGCAAAGTTGAGCATGCATTTGTGACAGAGAGACTGTGACCCACAGAGCTTCTGTGAACTGGCCTTCTACTGAGAGTGTTCGGCTGCTTGTGCATTCTTGGTATTAAAGTCTAGAGCTGCAAGTTAAGGCGGGGTATACATAACAAAGATTATTATAGAGACCCTCTTCTCTCTCTACATAGGCCACTTATTTATTCTAGAATCCTATTTTTAGCACACAGGCATTTCATATGTGTACGTTTTATTTAACAAAATGTGCACTAGCACATTTTATTTAGTGAAAAGGCATTATGTGACTTCTCCGTAGAAACCTTTCCAGAATTTTTATGTTGTTAAAATTCAGAAACAACAGTCTGAATGGAAGGAAAGAAGGAAGCTGTAACTTCTTTAGATCTACATTTACACAGCAAGTTCTCCAAATTTACTTTGGACGTATTCTTGTTTGAACTAGTTTGGAAATTAGTTATGAAGACTGGGTTAAGACTGACATATTTTCAAATCAATTCTTAACTACACTAACTTGAATGTGGGAAAAATGTGCATATTTTATCACTTAAATTTTTCATTATTATTGGCTTGTGTTTAAGAGTCAGTACAAGCAAGGTACCTTTTCATCTGTCAGGCATTGAGCCTAATGTCTTATTCAAAGCAAATGTCATTGCATAACATATTGGTGATGGCAAATAATAGTGTTATTTGATTGCTGAATTTCATTATTTGTATTTCTTCCTTTTGCTTAGGTCAGGTTCTGACTTTGACACAAGAAGTTTAAGCTCTTGTGTTGAACAAGGTTATGCTCTTCTTTTCCTAGGCCATTACTAATGTACCTGACACCTTGGTATCTTTTACTATAAATTCCAATATCATGTTCACTTCTGAATAGCAACCCTAAAAATCAAACCTATGACCAGTCATGCACTGCAGAAACAGAATTCAGGCCATATTTTCTAGAAGCACATTAGTGTGTAAAAGTTGAACCTATTCAAAACAACACACACACACACACACACACACACACACACACACACACAGTATTGTATCTGATAAAATTCTTAGCTGACTCACCATGTCAATGACTCTCAGATGGCCGTATGAAAAAACAATAGCATTGGGTGGATTTGCTACTGGTAGTAGGAATGCAAATGAGGTACACAGAGTAGTAGGTAGCAAAATAAAAAGAGGGTTCACACCAATGGCTTCGGCCTATGGTAAAAGAAAAAGAGAAGTAAGATCTTGAAGTTAGGCACCAGACATTAAAATAAGCAATTACAAAAAACTCCCTGAAGTAGTTGAAACCTCATTATACAAAACTATGCACACAAATGAAGTTATAACTTGTTTAGAACAGGTTCTTCTTATTAGTCTTGTTTACATTTTTTTTTTGAGACAGGGCCTCACTGTGTAGTTCAGACCAGCTTTAAACTCACCATGTAGTACAAAATAGCCTTGAACTTGTAGTGATCCTCCCATCTCAACCTCTCAAGTACCTGGATTACAGGCATGTACCACTATGCTTGGTTTACATGGTCTTTGTTGGCCATTTAAACACTATTGTCAAGTTATTTACAAAATAAAATTTCATTTATTCCAGAAACTAAGGACAGAAACCATTTATCTTTTCTCATGCCAAGTGCAGAACTGTTTATATATAATACATTAATACAAAATGTATAAATCAATATAATTGAAGATATGTATTTAAGTTTTATAATCTCATGAGATGGCTGCAATAATCCAAAAAATATATGAAGACACAAGTCCAGAGAAGCTAAACAAAACTTATCCAAGTATACAGATGGCAAGCATGAGAGCTAAGTAAGGTCTTAGGTCCCTCCGGCTCTAGAGCTTCTAATTATACCACCAACTTTACTGCTTCTATGAAAATGAAATTTAAAACTTGCTTTAGGAACCACTAGAGGAGATGCAAGAGTATTCTTAATTAATCACATCAGTTTCTGACTATTCTATCTTGAAATATAAAAGAGTGAAATTATTCACTTCAGAACATGGAAAATAGTTCTTTTAGTCAAGGTTACATAAATAGCTTTAAAACAAATACTGCTCTACATGTCTTGTAGGAGATCAATTTTTTTTTTTATTTTAAAGAGAAAAAACAATAAAAATAGTGATACAAAATTCCAAAACAAGATAGTTGGGCAGTAACAATGGTTAATATGTTTCATATTGTTATTTTCAAAGTAGTTGCTCATATTATATGATATAGGTATGAAAAATTGATCAAATGATATAAACACAAACATATCTTGATATCCATTTAAACCATAAACGTTTCCATAACTCAATGTGAAAACTAGCATCCCAACATTCAATGATCACTACTGTGCATGAAGAGAACATGAGTGCTTAAATGAGATACTCACCAGTGGAGTTAATATTGGGAGAAGAAGGGTAACTGTAGCTGGATTGCTGGCTACCTCTGTCAAAGACGTGACAATCAGAGAAGATATCAGAATTATTAGCCATATTGGTAATGAACCTAATGGAGATAATTTATTTCCTATCCACAGAGATAGTCCTGACTCCTAAAAAACAAATTTTAAGTAATTGTTATTCATTAGTAATTCATTTTAGCACAACACAATTTAAATGCATAACCATTCTTTATTCTAAAATCTGTTTAATAGCTTTAGGTACCTATGGTGCAGAGTAACTATCAATCTTATTTTAACATTATCAAGATAGAAGGAGGTTTTGAATTTTTTTCCACTTTTTAAACTAAGCCTTGATTTTATATTATTAATGTATATGAATGTTTTAATAAGCCCTGTAAAACTATAGGCTTTCAGAGAAAAATAGTTCTTGTAGCTCGCCTCTAGTTATTCTTAAACTGTGATTCCCAGAAACAAAACCTTTAAACTCTTAACAACTAAGGTAGCTACATTTAGGTATACTAGTCTTTCAAAATATTAAAATCATTCATTTTCCTAATTTTCAAATTTAGAAATTATTTTTTGTCTTTATGTTACATGAGAAATTAGTTTTCTTACGCCACCCACCCTACATATATTTCCCACACCATATTATAACCTTATACTCATGTATTGACAATTTTTATTAAATAAATGTTTAATGGTTGCCACCATGATTACAGAAATATTGTTTATAGTTGAGCCACTTAGCATTCTATAATTATATTTACTTTCTTTATTTTTTCCTTTGGAAATATCTGTATCATTCTTTCATTTGCTTAGTTTTCTAAACACCTTTCACCAATTCATCACATTCTCAAGTAGAACTTGAAAATTCCCCACCAATAGACAAACATACCAGGTATTCATTTATTTTTCTTGTTTCTTTATGGAGATGTCTATTCTGGAATACTTTCTCCTACTGATCCATGGGACTAGATGTTCTTTAAATCTATTCAACTGTTGTTCTGGAAACTTCCTTTATTACTATCAGTTGCTTTCTCTCTCTCCCTTTAGAGAAATTTTCTTATTTACTCTGTTGTGTTAGTAGAGCCCATCTTGCTATAACTTCCTGAAAATTGATATATGGAAGTTAAATTATTTGGAGTTTTATGTATCTGAAAACCTTTTAGTTTCTCTTAACACTACTTTCTACTTTGACACCCCAGCATTGGTAGTACTCTAGATTTAAAGTAATTGTCACTTAGTGGTTTTAAATCATTGACCCATCTCCTGTGGCTTCCAGCAGAGCCCCTTATCCTGATCACACAGTGATCTTTCCTTCATTGTATGTTTTCCACAAAAATTGGCTAAACTCGTATTGGCAGGTAAGTGTATCTGTTTGGTTGGTTAGGTTTTGTTTTTGTTTTTTTGTGGGTTTTTGTTTTTTGTTTGTTTGTTTGTTTGTTTTGCTTTTTATCCCTAATGCAAGGAAAAATTCACCTGTTGTGAGACTATTTCAATGAGTTACTGGATTTGTGATCTTTATAATTGTGACAAACCAGGATAAGCCCATCACCATTTGTATCCTTTTTAAATCATCCCCAGTTAGTTCTGACTTTTCATTTGCTTTCAGTGTAATTGGCTGTGACCTATCCCTGCCTCTTCCGGGATGTTTTTATGAATCACTGTTTCTTATTGGTTCTTTAGCGTGCCAGCCTACTGTCTCACCATTTTTTGTACAAAGTCAATTACCTCTCAAATATCTTCCTTCCATTTCTAAAGTTTTCAACATCTGTAGTCTACTGTTATCCCTATCATAGGAGGGTTTTTAAATTTATAGACTGACACTTCTTAGTGCTGCTCTTACCAATGGGGATCTAAGAAAAGTGTTTAATTCCGCATGTTTACTTTAGGAGAAAAATTTTGAGGGATATGTGAAAAGGAAAGAGGAGCAGTTTATTTACCAATAGGAATATGAATGTGATTACTAGCTTGCAAGAGCTCTATCATGTTAAATCAAAGCAAGGACATTTTAAGATAGAGGCAATTAACAATGAAGTAATTGCTGTAGGTATTGCTCTCTTACTGTTCTCAATTAGAAGTGCTATCTGATTCTAGACATTTTTCAGGCTAATTACAATTTAGGTCAAAATTTTTAAAAATTAATTCTCTCAAAATCTTTTACAAATTCATTGCCTGTGGGTGCATTTGCCTGTAGTCATATTTTTTGAAGCTCATGACTGAATTCTGGCCACTAAGGATTATAGTAGGGTTGCTGTGGGTATTCTTCAAAGTATCTGATTCTGAATACAAAAATTTATATGGCAAATGATACCGTCATCAGTGATGTGCTTAATGTTCCACTGAGAGAATCTAGTGCATTAAACTAGGGACACACCTTCTAATTTACTCATATTTTGCTGTTCTAGGGTCTGGTGGATGTTTTCAAAAGCATTCTGAGGGTCTAGGGTCCAATCTAGACGTTCGAGGGGAAGAGAGAGAAACAGATCTCCAATCAATGCTAAACATTTTGATTCTGACTTTCTTACAGAACAAATTAGTAGACATGGAATGGAAGTTATTTAATTTAAATCAGATCTTATTACTGCTGAAATACAGTAGTAGAGTAGGAAAAATATAAATGTCTTATATTTCTACCAATTGTATGGGCAGGAAATGAGGCAAGCAAAATCTATACCTAAAACGATTTTGTAGAAGGTGCTCAGAATTGAGTCAATTTCCAAGACTTTCAGCTATTACTAAATCCTCTTGCTAAAAGTCCATTATCTAAATTCTATGCATAAAATTGGCAATAAATGTAGAAGTAAAGTCTCACTGCAAGTTAGCAAGAATAGAAGGGAAGATAGCTGTTTTGAAAAGTATAAAATCTTACCCCTTACAAAGGGTTTGACATAGCACCTCTCTTACCATTCTCCACAGTTGGATGAGTAAGGGTATTGAACAGATATAATCTTTGAGTATTTCACAGAGTCTATGAACTTAAGAAGCAACTGGTTTTTAATAACCCAAAAGTTTAAGTTGTTTATGGAATTCTCATGGGTACTTTCCTTTCAGCCACTATACAATGATGAACGCAATAACACGGGGCAAGATTGCTACACCATATCTAATGGATATAAAGATCAAACAAATAGCCAACTGCAATTGCACTCCTCATACTGTTTTTATATCTTCTTAAGAATAGACATAGTATCAGGCATGCTTATATGAAATTCCAGACTTCATCCAAAAGGACTTATTAAGTACAGTTAATGCCAATACTATTTCTTATTCTCCTTTGACAGCATGGTGAAATTAAAAAACCACTCAAATTCATCATGAAACAAGGTTAAGGTATACACAAACAATAATTATATTTCATGAGGCATTACTTTACATATTATAGGTGAAATTTCTCCTACTGTTAGTCTTCTACTCTGTTGCATTGATTAATAATTTTAGTCTTCTTACAATATTTATTTTGACACCATAAACCATGCTTTGTTCTTGCTACATGGAAAACTTCTTGAACTCTAAAGCTCACCTCATCTATATACTATTCTCACTGCACAACTATTGAAATCTACATTACTTAATAGAATAAATCTGAATACGCCAGAAGCCCGGCTGTCTCTGTGTTCTTCTTTTTATCCATCTAGTTAGCTGTTAAATAACTTACACACAGAGTATTACCTCACAGCCATCTGCCAGAGCAAACCCTCCACCGACAAGGATGGCTATATCCCAAGGCATGAATGACTGGAATTCTTTCCAAGTAATTAGTGGAGAATAATCAAAAGGAACTGTGAAACAAAAGTCCTACAGTTAAATATTGCTTAAGACATGACAATATGACATATTACTTTTTAAAATTCCGATTCTAAATAATTATCTCATGGAAAGTTTGTAATATTCTTATATTGTTTCTAAAGAGGAGATTTATCAGGGCTTTGAGTAATTTTCACTTGGCCTAAGTGGACTGCTATAGTATAAGAAAGAAAAAAATTACAACTTGGAAAAGAATTTTTGATATTTTGAAATTTATTTTACATAATTTATAACATTGTCTTTTATAATGTGATTCATTCTTTAATTACATTAAGCTAGCTTAGGAAACACAGGGCATTGAACTGCATGTTCCCTTATTAAGTAAAATATTTATAATATGACACTGATTCAAGTAATATCAGCACAGGATTTTAATTATTATTTACCAATATTTACTTGAATGTTTTATTCTCTTTAAGTCATAAATGGTATCATAACAGATTTATCAGCATTCTAATGTAAAGGTAATTCAAAGTTCAGATTAAAAGATCATTTTGAAAATGATAATGCTTATGAAGGAACTTTCATAAAGATATATCCAGATATTTGGATTCTATTGATTTGTTAAGTTTAATTATGAGCACATTATCCCTATTTAACATTTATAACATCTACATGGTGATATTATAATAATATTAATAAGCCTACTTCCCATCTTCTCCCAAATCAAAACTTGCTCCAAACTACACTCCCAAAACTGCTTACACAAATGACTAAAATTTTACTACAATGTTTCTTAATTGGGTTAAGACTCTCTATCCCGACAGAATGCAAAAGTATCTGAAATGTACCTCTCATTGAAAATTTAACACATTGTGCCACACTTGTCATACTTAAACAAAGTATGAATGAGTTTATCAGAGAGAAAAGCATTAAGTAATGGGGGTAGAAAGGTGAATGGGACGAGGGCTCTTTCTGAGGAGAAGTTCAGATGTAGGAATCTGGGAAGATAAATCCAGCTATTGGTTCCCTCATAGGGTTTTGATTACAGTGGTTAGAGTTTTCAGGGTTTCATAAAAATCAGTACTAAATATTGCACTATTTCCTTAACACATGGTGGAACCTTCAAATCTCAAGTGAAGAGCACAAGGCATTTATTTTTACATTATGCTGCTCTTATATATTATGCCCCGATAATCTGAGATAATAGTCCTCGATGGATAGTGACTCAGGGACTCAGGTGAGTTAACCCAGCTGCATGAGCCCTATTCTCATGACAATGCAAGCAATCAAAACAAAACAGCTCCACCACTCTATTCCTATTAGTCTATTTCCAAACTACTATAAATCTTTTGTCTCACATTGAAATCAGGAGTCTGACTACTAACAATATGCCATGTTAGCGTACACATAAGACATGCCTGGAGCCTATGATGAAGAACTGTGAATGTGGGATGTGTACGCTCATGCATGTGTGCCTGATTCATTGCCTATATACTGTAAATACAGTGAATACTCCCACTGAACACCATTTTTCAGTCATGACCCTAGCTTATGCCTGTGCGGAATTGATTGTTTTTCTTTCAGAAATACTGTGAGACTATAAATGCTATTTCTCATGATTCATGTCCCCATTTCTATACCTTCAGCATTTACTACAAAGCCTCATCATGAAGTAGTGGGTGGAGACATGTGCTAACTGAAGAAGAGTTCAGTGTGCAGATGTGGCCTGCCAAGCCAGCAGTTGGGTCAGCAAGGCTATTCCTTCTAAGTGATAGCAGAAAGTGATGACATGTTATAGTTTTTTTTCTTTTTCTGTCAAATTCAATCAACTATAAGTGATACTCAACCAATTTGTCCTTTAGGTGTAGTTTTAGTCAATATCTTCGCTGGGATCACGAAGAAAAGGAGTCCCACAACTAAGGCAACAGTTGAATCTGTTACATATCCAGAATACCTGAAAAAATATATATATACTTTTAAAATGGCATTAAAGACTTACACACTAAAGTACTAATTGATTACACTAATAAAATTTTGGAAATTTCATCGAGTACAAAACATTAAATGGAGTTCATTTGTATGATATGCATGTAAGTAATAATGGGGGTGTATTTTATTTATGATGGGTAATTTGCTCTAAAATCCATGATCTTCCAAATAAATGTCATAATTTAACTAGAACTAATTGTTCCAGACCATATTCCCATTATTTTTTGTGTTTCTCCTTATTTCCAGTATCACATGTAGAGACATTAACTTAATAGGCCAACAAGGCAAATTTTCCCTTTAGGTATGCTCACATATTTATTAACCATTTTTTCTTTGAATTCTTTCTTTGAATTCTGTTGGAAAGAATTGAGTTTGAAACAATTGCCATACCAGATAAAGCCCCACAGAATTATGACTTTTACTAATTTGTGGCAAGATCTGATATTACCAGAGTCTTCCCAATTCTTTTATAAATTACAAAAAGTAATGATTTGTTTTCTAGAATTTATCACCTGTTTCTGCAGCTATAGGTCCTTGGTGTATCATCCAAATGAAATCAACTCATTTAACACTTTGTACTCTATGAAACTCAATCCAGTATTAACTAATGGAATGGTTCATGAGATGTTCATAGATGATCACTGTACAAATTAAGAGTAATTCAGGCACAGATGAAGTCTTAGAATCACCAGGCCATTCCAACAAATAAGACAAGTTTCCAGAAGCCTCAACAATTGGGAAACATCTGGAGACAAGACATAAATGAAATAGATATAAATAATTAGATTTTAGCTTTAGAAATCAGCAAAAATAAGCACATTTTCATCACCTACAAAGTACACATTCCATAAGGATTGTTTTTCTATCCTGAAACTCAGTAAAGTATATATGCTACAGAAGCTACTCAGCTCTCATACTGTACCTGCAAAACCTAAAGAAAATTCATTGTATTTCTCAATGCAATAATTTTTTAAAATAAATCTGTTTTCCTTAAGTAGAGATTTATTTTTTATTGTTGTTGACTAAAAACCAATCATGGAGTAATTTATTTTATAAACCTGACAAATACTTATCAGTGTTGTTTTCTCATTTTAGCTATAATTTTGATTAAATTTTTGCCAAATGAGGCTAAGAATCATGTAACTGGATTTTGTTTTATACAGAAAAGCACATTGAATTCATTCCAGGTTCAAACAGATGGAATAGAAACATTAGGTGGTAGCTATAAATCTTAATATATCATGCTAACTTTAGAAACTTTGAATGCCTAAAACTTCTACATAAATGTATTCTATTGAATGCATCTGTTAAATAAAATTAAGGTATCAATATTGAATAATTTATTTTCAAAACAGTTTAAAAGTACTAGTTTTTATTGGAACACATTTGTAGTTCATATGATTTCATTTGTCACGAGGAGCTGGTACATGTATACGACACATTAATTCTTTTTCTATCCCCTTGCCCTTCCCTCTCTCTACCCCTCCATTTCTTAGTTCATTATGAATTAAGTAATCTCGTTTAATAAAATATTAAATTTATATAAATTTTATTTGCTTTGGATTTGTCATTAGATTTCTATCTTCAAATCCCATCCTCAAAACTTTGTTACTTTTTCTACTGTTTCCTATCAGATTGCTGGGTGGCATAAGTACCTACTCATAGCAAGTACACTAGTTTCCTGCTACAAACAAGGCAGTCCCTGAATTACATTAACTTCCTGTTAGGAATAAAACTGAAGTCAGGTATGTCGAATTTCCTTTTGGGGATTTTTGCCTGGTTTTATTAGTTATTGTCTGATTTAATTTAGCTTTGACACACTAGCATTTAAAGAAAGATTTTCCCACCCAGTACAGTAGGATTTCTAGTTTAAAAGAGACCTATCTTTATATGTTGCTCTAGACCCTATTATAAAGCCACAAAGTGCTGATCAACTATTAAGTAATAACTAGCTTTGACTAATTTGATGGGGTTTTTTTTTGTTTAGCCATCTCAAAATGAAAAATTTTACTCCAAAGGGAAATAAAAATGATTTCAAAACTGAAGCTAATCTTCGAAAACCACATTGCATTGTTGGACTTATGTAGTTATTAGAAATTTGGATTCAAGTTTTGCATATTTGAAAAATACTGGTAAAGCCTATAAACTCAGAAATTTCTGATTCAGAGAGAAGACTTCTTATTCTAGAGATCCAAAAAAATATCTAACTGAAACAATTGCGGCTTTGTCCCACACGCTATGTGAATTTCTACTGGGGAGTGTAAGACAGGAAGTACAAGTCATAGATCTACTAAATTTAGGAATTAGAATATTTTGGTGAAAGATAGATGGGGAACAGAAATCTCAAAACCAGATTACTTATATTGACATGAATATGGCTCCTAATTTAGAAAATTTTGTTTCAATCTTCCCCCTCACTTCACATGACTCAGCGATGACTGCTGGTATATAAGGCGCTGGAAGATATAATTAGTTCTGATTGGCTTCTAACATTAGTTTTTAAAATCAGTCATTACTTATTCAGGAATTCCTTAGGTATGAAAAGGAGGATAGGTTGAATTTGTAGTGAACTGCCACAAAAATATTCCGAAAGACAAGATATTGAGCCCAATAAATAGCTTTCCATAGAAATAAGATTGAAACCTTAAGTTTGTAAAAGGCACAGAATGGGAATTTATGTCTGATTATCCAGAAGCACTAAGTGACAGTTCGTATAATAAACATTTATATAAAAAAGGAGAACAAATCTCATAAACTTTCAAACTTTCAGAACTGCTAAGGAGGGAAGCAGAATGTAAAACAAGAAAGTCTGACAAGCATATCACGTAATACTTACTGTGAAAAAAGTACAGACCAACCAGTTATAAATCCTGGATCTCGGCTGAACCAGAGCAGGGTCATTGCAATGAAGAGGATCAAAGTAATGATTTCTTGGTATCTGTGGAGAAATTCCTATGCTGTCATTTATTTTCTAACAAGATATTTGTAGAAATTCTCTTAGTTATCATCGAGAGTAATCTTAACAGAGTACCAGACTCTGTAAGAACTAGATTTGCTGATAATTTGAGAATATCAGTGGACTTAGAAGGGGCCCTTCTTTCTTTCTGGGGCCTTGTACTGTCTTGACATTCTACCTGGCAAATTTTAGTTAGATAGTGGTAGATATCTTGTCAAGTTAAATTACATTTACAAAGCTTAGCAAATTTGGAGCCCTAATTAAGTGTTATAAGTATCTTGAAGACAAGTATGTGTTTATACACTTTAAGCAACTACCTAAAGCATGCAGCATCTATGGAGTGGATATGTGCGTGTGTGTGTGTGTGGGGGGGGTGTGTGTGTGAGCACATGCACATGTTTACCTTACCTCATTGGTCCAAGTTTTTGGTATTCTTGTTTAATCACTGCAGCACAAAGTTTTTCTTTAGCTGTTTTGGTTTTGCCACATTTGAACATCTCCTTAAAACTGAAAAAAATATGTTTGTTAAGTAAAAGATTCTTCCATTACTACTCCCTTTGATGAAAGGTATTTTGTGAAAATTTTATAAAATGTGAATCTCCCTGCTAATAACCAAATGTCTCTGTATTCTGCTTATACTTCTCCTTCCTTTTCTGAGTGTTCTCTAATCTCTTCTCACTTTTTAGTACTTAATTTTTGTTGTATATTTTCCATGACATCTTCTACTTGCTTCCAAATACTTTCGCAGCAGTAGAGCTTGCTGTGTACCACACATCTGTATTTAACACTTTTTTATATACCATTATATTATATTTTAAAAATATATTTATTGTACATCTTGGTAGCTAATTGTTGCACATGTATGTTATGCAGTGACAATACCATAGGTATGTTCTTTGGCCTGATGGCTTTTAACACTAGTATATACGCTAAATAGTCAATTCACTAACTCAGTAGTGCCTCTGGCAAATTTATGAGACAGTTCCTATCAGATTCACTACATTTCATAAAGATACTTAACTTGAGTTATACACTAGGGTGGGGAAGTTACATATATTGTTACTGGTCAGAGTCCAAATGAGTTCCATTCTCTAAAACCAACTTTACTGTATGATGCTTTCCTCTAAGTTTCTTCAACTCTATGTCCCAGTAGTACCCAATATCTTCTAGTTTATTTCCAGTAGTACCTGCTACTCTTTATAGCTTTCAGTTTCTTGTTCTCATGACTCTTTTTACTGTGACTAGTATTCTCCCCTGAAGTCCAGAGTCTGCAAAACTTTGAATAGTGAGGGATGTGTGTGTGTGTGTGTGTGTGTGTGTGTGTGTGTGTGTGTGTTGCTGCTCTAGATATAGAATAAAAAGAAAAACCTTGTAAAGGCAGGAAAAACAGAGAAATGGCTATATTCTTAGAGATTATCTTTTGGAATAGAGTAATTCAGTTTATATTATGTGTGGATGTAGAAAGCAGAGATATTTTGTCTTGTAAAATTACAGGGAAAAATCGTGCATGCTTAGAAGAAGAGAGTAAGAAGGAAAACCAGGATAGTAAGAAGGTAGTTATCTAAGAAGGTCACATTTTGTGGTTCAATTATTATTTTTATTTATTTATTTTAGTTTGTTGTTTGATTTGATTTTTCCCCTGTAACTTGGCCATGCCAAGTCATTTAGGGTGTAATTTCATTTGAGGGTGTATATTTCCTTACTTCTTAAGCCATCTATCTTACATTCATAATTACCCTCATACATGTACATCAAGAACTGAAATAATTGCATATTGTTCAGTTTCTGATCACCAAGGGCATAATTAGTTACATTTTATAATCTCAAATTCTTAACTAGTTATTTTTCCAATTTAAAAATTTTGTCCCTTGACAAAACATAAATACTACTATTATAAGAAACTAATCCATGGGCTACTAAAGAACTATCTAAAGAAAAAATATAACTAAAGAGAAAGATAGGACTCTCCTTAGACCCAGTGTGACCCATATGCATTTTGCCAGTTTGGTTGTCAAAAATAAACAATTAAGTGAAAGCCAAGTTGGCATTGTTACAAAGAAAGGTTACTATTTTCACAAAGGAACTGAGGAAGCATATGCCAATGCATTAGCCTCTTCATTTAAATAAATTTGGAGGCACTGATAGATGAGCTTCTCTTCTGATGTATGCCGTGGTCATTTATAATGGGCAAGCTAACTGTGTTAATGGCCAAGACACTAATCAGAATGTATGTTGGCCTGCTGAAGGAGTGCCTGATAGTTTCTAGTTGTCCATCTAAGATCTCTGCAGGCAAAAACCCTGGCAAACGAAAAGGACACTGAAATGTTAGCTGAAGCATGAAGCTGTTTGTTGTCTAACCAACAGTGGACAGCCAGGGGACTGTTGAAACATGCTGCTGATCATGATTTATGCACTTCGCATAATGCACAGTGCTTCACAGGATTTTTCCCTCCTGCGGAGCATATTTTAATGTATCTTAAGTTTCTAAGTAGTAGGCTATTTTAAAATCATAACAATCATTGCATATGTATTTTATAAAGTCACTACACATAGCCACAAAGATCAGAAACTACTGTAGGCCTACGGCTGACTACTTTGTCCATTGACATGGGAATCTATTCCCTGTAGCGGGCATTTCTACCAGTGCCAGTGAATAGACCCCCAAAGGCTCAGATTTCCTGGGGGGGGGGGTACATGCCATGCAGCTGGTCTCTCCTCACTGATGCCCACCTGCTGAAGGCAGTGACATTCCACACATTTGCTCCAGCAGGAGAACTGCCACACGCTGATCTCACAATCTGTATAGATTTTTTTTTTAAATTATCAGTACCATTTTCCCTCTACTAACACAATTGGACAATTCTGGAGAAAAATTAGAAAGGAAAATCAAGAGGGGACAGGGTCAGTCCTTATGTTACTAAAGCTGGAAAAATATAGTCCAGGTAGGGAACCATGCCTGGTCATACTGTTTTGATTTTCAAAAGAAGTACAGAGGGCTGGCTTTAGACTGACTTGGTGAATAATATGCTATTTTATTCATGGGTCCTTGAAATTATTTAAATACAACTGTATAAAAATGAATTTGAATTATTTTCTTTTCAAGAAAAATTTTCAATATTTGCTACATAGCTATTTTGACTCTCTTTTGAAGTATTATTAAATGCACCGATTGGAAGGTAAACTAAAAAATGCAAATGGCATTTTAGATTTTGCTGTGGAGTTCTTCATAACATTTACTGCTGGCTTGTCACATGAGTCACATAACTTATTAGTGTTTCTGAAACCAACAGCTAAAATCCTAGGCAAAATAATATTTTGAGATTCTCTCTGAATACATATTGGGTATTTTGTGGCATTAGTAACATTTTATTCATCTGTGTTTCTTACCTTGGCTTCTATGTGTTCATATTTAGATCTAAGTGTATTGGAATTAGAATGTTGGAAGGGATCTTACTAATCCTTTGAGTAAATTCTACTGTTTTATAGTTGAAGATACCATATGTAACAATAGGTCAGGACTTGCAAAGATTATTCACTGGGGCTTTGAGAAGCCTCAGTCATATTTCTGGTGTCCTGATATCTAAGCCAATATTCTTTATACAGAGAACAGTCTCAGATCTTTACTTTATCTTTTATTTTGAAGGTAGTATCAATTTTGGTGCTAGGACAAAGCAGGAAGACTTGCATGTTACATATGAGAGCAACTCAATAAAGCAAGAAAATTTCCACATTGTATCAATAGAAGGGACCAAACCTGTAGAAACTTTAGTCTCAGAAGCTGCACTTGGTGCTCCTTACAGTGAGTTCCTTATACCCCTTGCCTACTTTACCTCTTATTGGCTTAATATTCAAAGGACACATGGATAGGTTGTCTTTTTAAATATTGTCTTTGATAGCCAACTTTGTTTAATTAAGAGTTTTGTTTAACCTTAAAAATATGTGTGTCTGGTGGCTAAGAAAACAAACTTGCTAATGCAACATGTATGGTATAAGAAGAAAAAGCACTGAATAAAGAATTAAAAACTAGGAATTCAGAGACCTTCATTTATCTTGCAAACGTAAATATATTTACTTACTTGAATCCTAGGAAAAGCCACTGAAGCCAGATCCAGGACAGCAGCAGAATAATAACAGCAGCCGGGAAGGAAAACATAAACCATGATCCAAAGTTGAGGCACTGACAATCAGGGTAGCGTCTGTGTAAAAGCACAGAGAAGAGTTCAGGGAACAGGGACAAGGAGAAGTCTTTCCCACAGCCATGGTCATTGGTCACGGTCATCTCTACTGTGCTGCTGTTAAGAAGAAAGTCCTCACCGTTAACTATAGTAGTTAGGTTTACTTCCTGTTTTGGTTCTGTAACTGTATATTATTTTTGAATCTAATAAAAGCTAGAGTATGTTTTCATTTTTGTCCTCTTTGTTCAGTCTTTAAGAAAAATGCTTATAATAAAACCTTCACCACACACACACACACACACAATGCATGGGGGGTGGTGGTGTTGTAGGTACAACACAAAAGGCAACCAGCACATGATCTCACTCACACAAAGAGTCTAAAAACATTAATAGTAGAAAAGTGGTTACCACAGACTGGAGACAATAGCAGGGCAGAGACAGAGAAAGGCTGACCAATAGGTATTAAGTTACACTGGATAGAAGAAATAAATTCTGCTTTCCCACTGTATAGTAAGATCAATATAGATAATAATAATGTGCTGTATATTTGGTAAAAAAGGATTTTAAATATTACACTACAGAAAAATGATAAATAGTGAAGAGATACAGATGTTCATCCTGATTTGAACACATCTTGAAGTATCACTTGTTGCAACCTTAAGATATACATTTTTAATGTATCAATTCAATTTTTTAAAAAAGCCTTGGTTGATGTTAAAATGCTGCGTACTGAAATGGTGAAATCTGCAGAAAGACCAGTCGTCAGGGCCCAGATGAGTGAGTGGTGGGAGCCAAAGAATGCACCTGTGGAACTTAGGAGATCTTCAGAGATGGAGTGGAGGCTTGAGGAGGGTAAAGGGGGGGAATAGGGAAGAAGAGAATTGACATAGGTTATATGACTCTACCAAAATACCACAAAGAATCACATTTTTCTACACTACTAATGTGCACCAAAGAAGAAAAGGAAAGAAAAGAAAAGAAAAAAAAAGAATGCTCCTGTTGGTATGTCAACTTGAGTTGTCCTTTAATTTTTCAAGTGGCAATATTGGACGGGCAGCAAAGTAACTGAGACCAGAATTCAGAGGATGTGGTAAAAATCTGGTAGTCACCGGTCCATACGTGGTATCACAAGCCATGGAAATGGGTACAGTGATGTAGGAGAGAGAGATTTAGATGTAAAAAGGAACTGGCAGGGTATTTAGGCCACTTTAAGCATAAAGCCCAGGGAGAGGTGTAGGAATGAACAGATAACTTAAGTTCACTTGATTCTAGTGAAGAGCCTGTAAGGAGGGCTTTATAGTTCCATTTTACATGAGAAGAATCTGAGGTTAAGTGGATTGCTCAAGGTCACAGATTTTTCAATAAAGCTGTGTTTTCAACTTGATGAAGAGGTTTAGCTTAAAATAACCTCTTTTTATTAAGCCATGGCATTCTCCACACCAGCTACAGCTGAAATAGTAAATTCAAAATCTATCTATCTATATCTATCTATCTCTATATAGATATAGATATATTAAAATATCTATAAGGTAGAACACAACATTTAGGTTCTATGAACATTTTATAATGATTACAGAAATGATTGCAACACAATATGGAGACATATCTTGACCTGAATCATGCGTACTTAACTATTACACTTTAGGAAGAAAGAGCTGTCACTGCAGTTCTTATGACCAACTATAGAAAGATGAATAGCTTTGATATCAGTCGAATATGCAGAAGTGTCTTCAAAAGACTAGTTGTAGTCATAGAATGTTACAACATTGTAGCAGCTTTTGGTCATTAGGAGTATAATAAGCTAGGGCCCATATGGATTATAGTCCTTTTGATTAATGACTGTTATGATTATTTATGAGATGAAGCCACTTCCAGTTTTGGATTTGTGTATATCCTGAGCTTTCTGTTTGAAAATATTAACTACTTGTTATTCATGAGCCAGGCTTAAATGTCTAACCATGATAGTAAATTAGAAGTGGCAGTGTTACCAATGGCCAGAACTGTTGACAAGGAGGTATGTGGCAGCCTCAGCTGGAATCAAATGCACACCAGGCCTTTTAACCCTTACAGTAGCAAGTTCTAGTTCTGCCTTCATTTCATAGATGATGAACCTGAGGTTTGCAGAATTTAAGATAACACAGGGATGGCATAAATTCTGAATTAAGATCTGAGTGCCAGCTTTGCAGCATACACATTTCTTCTACAATAACTGACAAGAGTAATTGTTTATGAGAAATGTGCATTGCATTTTTATGAAAAGACAAAAGCATGGTAATGTTTGAAAGTGTTACTTTTCAATAATTGGTCTACTCCATTTTGACTTAGTAATGAAGAGATGGTAGGCAGAAAAGCTTTGGATTAATGGTAAGTACATTTCTATTACTAGTCTTTGGTTTGTATCTGTTGAAACTGTAGTCTCCCATTTATCCACAGTCAACCATGATCTGAAAATGCGATTTGTTTTAATTCTTTATTTCATTAAAGTTCTGTGTTGTACCACAGGATTGCTTTTAATATGAGGAGTTCACACACGTACATACACAATCTAGTTCTTTTTTATCCTATCTGCTGTTCTTCTCCCTTCTCAGTCCTTCCTCTCCAACTCATAATCTGTTTCTCATTTTGAAAAAGCTCTATTTCCATTTTGCTTTAATTTTCTTTTAAAAATCCTTTTTCCATTCCTTTTTACCTCCATCTCTTGTTCTCCTTCTCACTGAAAAGATCTCCCTACTTCATATTATCTAGGCTTTATTTTGCTTTTTATTTATATCTTGGGTTTCTCATATAAGAGAGACCATATGACATTTAAGTTTGCATGTCTGATTTATTTCAGTTAACCTTTGGTCTCAAAGTGCATATATTTACCTATAAGTGTCTCAAGTTTATCCTGGCTTATACCTCAGTAGTATTCTATTGTGTATAAATGCCATATTTGCATTATTCATTCATCTGTTGATACACATTCTTTCAAAACAGAAATGAACCATATTCACATAACTTTTGTTACAATATAATTGTTTTATTTAATTATTTGTTTTTACTAATCTCTAAATGTGCCTGATTTATAAATTAAAATTTGTTGAAGACGTGTATATGAAGAGAAAGTAGTAACTGTATGATTTAGTACTAGCTGAAGTTTTAAGCATCATTGGAGGTTTTGAAACACATATCTACAGATAAAGAAGGAGAACCACTGTAGTTTTGAATCACAGAATAGGTAACAGTAACTATGTTCATCATTGAAAATACATCTTTTCTTCCCCCAAGCTGTTTTCTATACACTTAGTAATAACAACCAACACTCACTGAGAACATGCACATGTTCTGTGTTTGCACCATTCTTAGTGTTATTTATTTTATGTAAAAGCCAAAAAATAACTCTCTATGATAGAGTTCACATTATGCTTCCTGTACTTCTAGAGAGGCAATGAGTAGGGAAAGCTTAAGTAACACCCAGTAACTTAGCTGATAAATGGAAGAGCTGGAATTTGAAATCATATTTTTTGATGCCAGACTTTATACCTGTAATCACCATTATAGAGTATTACACCTCTATAGGAAGGGTATGTAGGATATATGCACTTTATAATGCATATAACTCTGACAAAGGTTCAAAAATGCCATATTACTTTAAGCTACGTGTAAAAAAAGACCTCAAATATCTATTAATTTCTATATATGTATGTTTTTCTAGAAAACTTAATAGAATCCTCCTGGTAAGTTTTATTTTCTGCATTCTTCAGGAGACTTCAAAACAGTGTATTGCACATTGTTAGCCCTCACAAAGTGTTTGTTGATTGACTGAATCTATAACCAGAAGTCTGTTCTTACTTGCACAGAACAAATTTCAGCAGTTTTTGGCATTGTTATTCCTATTTGCTTTGTATAAAAAAGCATACTAGAAACATATAGCTATTTCTCTATATTAAAAGCTATAGAAACTATCTACTGTCAATGTATCCAACAAAAGATCATATGGATAGATGGATTGATAATATGTAGATAGCCAAACAATGTTTGAAAATATGTCAATCTCTCCCTCAACAATATATTTGTTAAGATGTCACCCTCCTTCAAATGTTAATGGTTGAAAGTCACTGAAATTCAGGTTTCATTTGGAGCTGGAAAAGATGCAAAATGAAATTTTGTACAAAATAATCTTTTGTATTACTCAAAAAGATAGCAAGTAATATTGAGAGAAAAAAGCAGCATTATTATAGTAGATTTGTATGTAAAAAGCAATATCTCCCCAGCTTCAAATATCTGAACAAAGAATGTCATTCTTTTGCAACAGTTTTAAATTTTTATATTTTTCCAATTAAATTGAATGGACACTTTCGATGTTGTTTTGTGGTATTATTGCATTTTGTAAGATCAACATTCAAGAAAAACTTTATTAAGCATTGTTTAATAATATTCATTATATTTTTCCTTGAGATTATTTCTCCCTTTATACCAGTATTTTCTACCAAAAATGGATTCTTTGAGGTTTTTCCTAATTTTCTGAGGTTTTGCCTAATTATTTCAAGAACTAAAATACCCTCAATCTGTTATTATAAGTAGATTAACTCATTCAAAGACTAAAGAAAAAAATTAAAAGAAAAAATTGGTTGATATACATGTTCAAGTATACAAAAGCCAAAGTGAAACTCAACATGGATTACTAAATCAATTGAATCAATTAATTTCACTGAAATGATCAAAACTAGCAACTCTCTAACAAGAATAAAAGGGTTTTATACAATTTTGTTTTGTTTGAATTTCTTATGTGTGAAGGTATGGACAACTATTTCCAAGAAATAGTTGGTTGCCACTGTTGATTTTCTGCTGTCCTGTTTTGAAGGCCTGCGTTGCTTACATTGTTTTGTTCTGATTTGCTTTGCTTTGTTTTGTTTTGTTTTATTCTCTTTAAAATAAAAAAATTAAAAGAATAACAATAAGAATTTTGTTTAAATGTTATGTAGAGCAGATTGAAACATGTAATTTCACTTAATGGGGAATTCATGATCAAGGATACAAGTCTAACTTTCAGGAAAGGGTCAGGTATGTTTCCCATCTTGGGTTAGGATATACACTGAATATATCTACTCTGCCACTGTCAGCTTCAGAAGATTTCCACTTGTAGACAAAATGTCTTTTAAAGATTTCTTTTAAAATTACTGTTGCAGTATACACGAAAGATACACATTCATTGAAAGAAGGTGTGGATAGGGAGGTCTATGTGATACTGAATGTAAACTTCTATACCAGTATTCTTCATATGCAAGTTCCTGTTCTTTGTAAACTATGGGTTGACATTCTTTAAGTCTTGGATTTGTTGAAGAAATAGTGTGCATCACATTTTGTAAATAATTTCAGGAAGTTCATAGAGTCTATAAATTTTCTTCCCAGAATGTAGTTTTCTACTTCTGAATCCTCATTTTTCTGTGAAAAAGACTAATTTCTATTCCTGAGCTTTCTTGATGTTATGAGCCTCTTGAAACTAATAATTTTATGCTTCCTATTGTTTGAAACACATGTTAACTGGAGAATACATCTGAGATGTTAAAATATTTAAGTTGAGTGATAAGTATTTTAAAATCATGTACATACTTATTTGTCATAACCCTACAAACCATGTCTATGATATGTAAAATCATATCTTGTGAGAACAATGTAATTTTTCTGCTTCAAATTCACAAAGTATAAATTGTGGCATTTTAAACCAAAGTGATATGACTGCTGAATCCTAAGATTTCTCTCTTTTTTTTTTTAATGGATTGGCATTACAGTTTCAAATTTATATTTAGAGTCACATATGTCTGCAGAATATTACTGCCATTTCTTGTAACTGCTCAATCTTTCAATATTTTTTTAAATTTGAAAACCAAATCTTCTGCAATTAGTACTTCTGCTCACCTTTGTTATTTAAATTCAAATGCCAGTTCCTAAGCCTTACATAAATTGTCCCATGCAAATCATCCTTTTTCACCCTAGCCAACGACCACTTACAGAATTATTTGCAATGAAAATTGTATGAGCCTTCTGATGAGAGTCATCAGCCATGTTTTTCACCTCAGCACACTGTGCAATCAGTAAACATGTGTTTACTGAATTGTTCCTGAATTTTAACTCTACTCCAAAGAAAAACCTGCAGACCTATAGATATTCTGAAGGAGGAAAAGATCAATTAACCAAGCATAGCCTCTCTGTCCTTGAATTCTCTGAATCAGGTAAGAAAAACTTATATTTTAAATTCTGTGAATTTGTCACTAATCCAATGATTATACTTACGAATTGAAATGCTCATTGAAGATCAAGTTGGTGGAGGTACCAGTGATTGTGGTCAGTCCACCGATGGTAGAAGAGTAAGCAATACACAAACACATAAGTTTGCACATCATGTGGTCCTTCTTTGATCGATATGGTTTTCCTGTGACAGAGTTCTGTTCAGAAAGAAAAGGCACCATGAGAACAGCTCTGTTTGTAGTCATAACTAGCAGTGAGAATGTTTCTTATGGAATGAGTGTATTTTTCCACCCACTGATTCCTATCTGTATTGGTTTTCTGAGATGGGGCGTTTGGGAAATAATTAACTTTAGAGGAGATCCTGAAGATGAGACTTGGTCCGAAGGGATTATTGCTCTTATAAGAGAGACATTAGAGAAACTGATTCTTTGTGTCAAGAGAAGACAGTCTGAAGACAGCCATCTGCAACCCTGGGAGACAGCCCTCACCAGACCCTGTCTGCCAGCACTCATTCCTAGATCTTCAATCTCCAGAATAATGAGAAAGGAAATTTCATCCTTTAAAATACGTGGCCTGTGGTATTTTATAATGGCAAGATGAGTGGACTAATGAAGCATTTACCTTCCCATCCATAGAAGTAGAACAGTAAAAGATACTTAAACTTAAACCACTGAAGTATTTCACAAACACAATTTTGTTTATTTCCTAATTCTTTCTTGTCTCCAATGCAACTCTTCCACCATCTCTTCCTTTCTTACGATTGCAAAGTTCTCCACCATTTTTCTGTAATATTAGTTGTATTCGATCAGCAATTTCTTCAACCTTTGGGGGGGGGGCGTCCCTACTTTTATGCTTAATGACATCAGTATCCAGAGGATACTTCTCAAAACTGAGTGTTTTCAATCCCATATACCTATGCACTGAGAGATTCTGTCACTATGTTTCTGGTTCCATATTACTTCTTTCAAAACATTTATACTCCACTCAGGCAAAAATGAGTCTCTTTCTCTTTAAGGATCATGTAATTTGGAAATCTCTCTCTTTATTCTTTTGACCATAATATCCTGACCTCCTGGCCAGTGCTCTTACTTAATGTAATGCTTGTAGCTGACAAAGCGTTAGTATCCCTATTTCAAATTCTTCAAGAATCTGGATGTCTGTATCATGCTTATGAATAACTGTTATTCACAAAGTATTATCTCATTACCAAAGACCTTCAATCCTGTTTTGTTTCGCTTTATTCCCCATTCCTAGAGTTACTCCTTATGCATTACAGATCTTCAAATGTTTCGATCAGGGAAACTACTGTTCCCTACGGAAGTGTGGTGAATGAGAGTTGGACTCCTTGAGTGTGGACCACAAGCAACATTATTCATTTTATTGCTCATGACCTACATAACACACTCTGTTGGCTTGGTTCTTTTTCTTATGCTGAAATCTAGGTAGAACTAACAACTTCCTTGTTGCTTCATTTAATAATAGCCTGTCACTCACGTTTAGTCAGAACAGCAGCTTCATTTCACAGGTTGAAAAATACAATGACACATTTAATAAAAAGAGCTCCAAATTTAAAGTTAAACCTCTTTTTCCACGGTGAGGTCCAGTTGAAAACTCTAGTTAGCAGGCAGATTTTGGCTTGGCACTCTCTCTGTCTCTCTCAACTCCAATTCTTCCTATCACTTGCTAAACTCTGTATCCAAATCTCCCATATACAAAATGTTGGAATGTGTAGAGAAAGATTAGGAAAAGTTTTATTTCACTGGTGTACTAATTTAAACACTATGTTTTATTCTCCAAGCTTGGAAGGGATGGTGTTAAAGGCTTCCAAATGGTGAACACTATTATGGGTTTTTAAACAAACTCTTATCACCAGGTAAGAACTGGTTGTTGTCCTTCTAGGCAGGTAAAGACCTCTTCCAACTAGATGCTTGTGACTCACTCACGCTTTCTGTATGTGATAGTCAACCTGATCTCTTTGTGCCAAGGTTAGCTTAAGCTGTCATAAAGAAGAAGCTGTGGAAGAAGTTGTCGACCCAGTGAAGAAATCCCACTCTTCTCAGGTGTTCCCTACATCTGCTCCATTTGAAATGCACACCATTGTCATGAAAATATAACTGACATTCCATGTGTCAGGAAATTCAACCATGACATTTAACTTGCTAATTTTTAATGTGTCAAAAACTAATTCCTTAACCTCTTCTAGTCTAAGACTAGGGGGCAGATATCAGTTTCTCTAAGTGGTGATTTCTTAATATCTATCTTATGATGGGATTTCCATTCTGTCTTTGTTGGCAGTATGTGGGCGGGAGAGTTAGGAAAAGACTCAAACTATTTCTGTAGATAGATTATCTCTTAGTCTTCTTTATTTTAAACTCTAAATTTAATAATAGAAAGCTGCTTTTTGGTTACTTTATTTTCAGATCTCATATAATTAGAATGAGGAAATGTCTACAGTATGTGCTTACTATTATAGCTATTTAGGGATACAAAAAAATGAATTTTATCCTCCTGTTTACCATACATTGACCGACAAATATCTAAACCATTTTTCTTGACTCTCTTTGAATGTCCAGATTTTACCAAACTTCAGCTTTGATATGCCCAATCATTTGTCATCTCCATACCGTGAATAGCTAACTATTGTTGGTAAAAATCATGCACCCCATAGAGGATTTGGCTACCCTGCTTTCATAATCACAGCCATCGACTGTTACACCACGCTGCTGCTCTACCCTACCTTGTTTCTCTGACCAAGTCACTCACAGAGTGAGTAGAAGCCAGCAGACAATCGTATGTCCCTGTAAGGTACAGAGATTTGTCTGTATCTGCCACTCTTTTCCACAGACAGAACGGAGTCAGTCATCCCTCCAATCTCTTGTTTCTCTTGTTTTCTCCAATCTCGTTTCCCATTCCTTGGGAGCCTTCTCAAAAAACTTCCATTATAGATATTCGTACTTCAATCAGCATTTACTCATTTCCAAGCTAGCTTTATGTCCCCAAACCCCTCAAAAAGTCCTTTTTAAATTAACTCTATTCTCAATTGACCACTATCCTATCTCACCATCATTTTCACGAACTGCTAAGGTCTACATTCACTAACTCCATTTTTCTTAACCACTTTAACCTGATTTCTGTCTCATCCTTTCACCCAAAAGGTACTTTTTAGAATTATTAGCCTTCATATTGCTATACCCAATAATACGTATTTTTGAAGCTCAACTTGCAGATTTCTCATCAGTACCTAAAAGATTCAATCAGTTCTTCCCACTGCAAGCCTGGGTTTTTCTGTAATATCTCACTGTTACATAATCTTCCTAACAAATATCTAAACCATTTTTCTTGACTCTTTTTGAATGTCCAGATTTTATCAAATTTCAGCTTTTGATATGGCCTCTTCCTCCTCCCCCTCCTCTTTCCCCTTCTCCTTTTCTTTTTTCTTTTTCCTCTTCTTTTTCTTTTCATCATCTTGTCTTTGTTGTCTTCTCATTCTTCTCCTCCTCCCCCCTCCTTCTCCTCCTCCTCCTCCTCTTCCTCTTCTTCTTCTTCTTCTTCTTCTTCTTCTTCTTCTTCTTCTTCTTCTTCTTCTTCTTCTTCTTCTTCTTCTTCTCCTTCCTCTTCTTCTTCTTCCTCTTCTTCTTCCTCTTCTTCTTCCTCTTCATCTTCTCTTCCTTCTCCATTGAGACAAGGTCTCACTATGAGGTCCAGGCTGGCCTCAAACTCACTATGATCCTACTGTCTCAGCCTTCTGAGTGCTGGGATTAAAGCATGTGCCAAGATGCCCAGCCCTCTGACTTCTTTTCTGTCTTCCTTGCCATCTTGCTTTTCTTTGTCATTCCTTAAAACTGAACTTTCTTTGAAATTCTGTCTTAGGTACTTGTTACTACAGTATTTCTCCTTAAATTTCATAATTTCATAGACTTAGTGATTATAGATACGCAAAACTATAAAATTTCTTTCTACAGCTCAGGTTCCTTCTCCTAGGTCCATATATTCAACTGTCTGCTCATGAGAATGATTTAAATCAACACAAAAGTGTTCAAAACCAAACTCCTCCCTTCTTTTGTCAAACCTAACATCATCACACTTTGTGTGTGCTTAGATTTTAACAAGCATAATGGTCTAAATTAAAAACTTATTGAAATGTATTTATTTTATTCCTACAACACAATGAGGTAGAAATATTTTACCATGTTTTTCAAGGAAGACATGAGACAGAGAAGTGAAGCCAATTGTCCAGGGTCACAGAACCTGGAAACAGCATACTTGAATTTTAAGGCCTTATATTCATCTTTTACCATCCATACTCTTAGCCACTGTTCTATTCCTGTCCATCTTAAAAATACTCTCTTCCCTATCTCACTGATTTCTGTCAATTTTATCTACATACACATGTCTGGGTTCTGTTCAGGGTATCAAGTCTTATTTCAGACCTGTCTTATACACTGTAACCTTAAAAACAAATCCAAATGTATTTAAAAATATATGAATATTCGTTGTCTTTCCATGTTCATATATATCCTAAATATATTTGTAGCTGTTTTAAGGCTAGAGTGCATAGAACAAGTTTGAAAGATAAGAATTACTGTAAGAGGACTCATAAAGAGGTTATTACAGTAGTTCAAAACACATTTTCTTAATCCACTTATCCACCAATAGATGGGTTGTTTCTGTGTGTTGGCCTCTGTGAATAAAGCCACAGTGAGTGCAAATATCTCTCTGCAAAATTAATCTTTGTTTTGCAAAATTTTCTCTGCAGAATTGATTTCTGAAGAATTGCATGTATACCCAGAAATTGTTCTGCTCAATTACAGCAATATCTATTTGCTCTATAGCCCTCTTTTTAATTTTTTGAGGAAACTTTATAGTGTTTCCATAATGGCTGCACCAGGTTATATGCCTCAAAACACTCTGCAAGTATTCATTTTTCTTCATGATGATAAATAACAGAAATGCTGTTACATTCAGATAAGCATGCCATCTGTGGCAATGGTAGATGTAGGGTCTTTTGGTAAAATTATGATAAGGAAAAAAATTACTACTTTTTAAAACTCATCATGAATGTGGGAATGGCATTTATCATGATAGATTCAGGTGCTTTAGAGTAGAAATCAGTTTTTAGCTTTTAATTAACTTAAAGGTTATCCCTAGCGATATCCATGCTACATCTGAAATAACTAAATTTACAGATGTCTCATGT